ATCAGGGAAGCTCCTACTGGAATGCCTCCTTGAAAAGCTCCATTTTCACGGCCCTGCAGAACTGTGAGAAGTCACACAGGGCCCTGATCTTGCCAGGGAGCTCATTCCAGTAAGTCAGTGCCGCCAAGGAAAACACCCTGGACCTAGTCGATGTCAGCCTGGTTTCCTTAGGACCAGGGAGGGCCAGGCGGTTTTGGAGTCCTGATCGAAGTGATCTCTGGGGAACATGCGGGGAAAGGCAGTCCCTCAGGTAGGCAGGCCCCTGACCATAAAGGGCTTCAAAGGTCAAAACCAGCTACCTTGAAATGAATCCAGAACACTATTGGCAGCCAGTGCAGTGACTTTAGCACAGGCTGGATGTGCTCCTGCATAGGGAGACCCATCAGTAGCCTGGAAGAAGCATTTTGCACCAGCTGCAGCTTCTGGAGTTGCACCTGGGGCAGCCCCATGTAGAGAGCATTGCAGTAGAAGAAGAAGAAGAAGAAGAAGAGATTGGATTTATACCCCGCCCTTCACTACCCAAAGGTGTCTCAGAGCGGCTTACTATAGTTTGCTATTTTTCTAAACATATTTGTCAATTTTTTCTTAATCTTCTACCAGAGTAATACAGATTTTTAGCCATTATTCACATTGTGTTGAAGAAGAAGAAGAGATTGGATTTATAACTCGCCCTTCACTTGGAGTCTCAGAGCAGCTTACAAATTCCTTTCCCTTCCTCTCCCCACAAAAGACACCCTATGAGGTAGGTGGGGCTGAGAGAGCTCTTTCCAGAGCTGTCCTTGAGAGAACAACTCTTGTCAGCACTACGGCTTGCCCAAGGTCATCCAGCCAGGTGCAAGTGGAGGAGTGGGGAATCAAACCCGGTTCTCCCAGATTAGAGTCCGCGCACTTAACCACTACACCAGACTGGTTTAGCAGTCCAACCTCGAGGTAACCATTGTGTGGATCACTGAAGCCAGATCATTGCATTAGAGGAAGGGAACCAACTGCCTGATCAGCCGAAGATGGTAGAAATCTGCCTTGGCAGCGGCTGCTACCTGGGCCTCCATTGTCAAGGAAGCATCCAGGAGCACTCCCAAACTCCTGACCTTAGGAGCTGGCACCAACAGCTCCCCATCGAAGGCCAGTGGTGGGATCCCTTTCCCCGAGCCGCTCTGATTCAGGCAAAAGACCTCCATCTTCGTTGGATTCAATTTCCTTCCAGCTCAGTCTAAGCCATCCAGCCATGTCACCTGCTCCTCTGAAGGAAGCTGAGGATTGGTGTGAGAGGGGGAGGGGGCAGACTGGGTGGCTGATTTAAGCCAGGTGACTTGGGCAGGCCGGGGAGGAAGAGTGCATGTCTCTCAAAAGGGAAAGCAGGAAACCTAGAAAGAATCCCCGAGTGAGTGTGAGCTTAACCCTCCCAATCCAGCTGTAGCTGAGGACTGCCATACTGTCACTACCAGCTATAAAATCACATCCCGTAGACCCCAACTCCTCAAGTGACCTCCCCAGAAGAGCCAAGACCTAACACTAGACTTATAGTCTAACCACTATACAACAATACTGCTCAGATGGGTCAGGAAATGACTGAAATCCCCTTTGCTTCAGGGGGGATATTTTCTATCCATCCTATCTGTCCTGACTGCCTTTGCTGGCTTCTTGTGTATAAACCTTTGCTTCCACTGAGAATACCAGAGGTTTTTTCCAGAGATCAGCTGTGCAAGGATGGGACTATTCCCTTCCTTTTTGGCACTGCAAGTTCCACCAACTACCCAAAGCTGGTCACCCTTTCTGATACGTTATACCTGTCACAGTTACCCATAACTTCCAAAGCTAAAATGAGGCCTGTGTGTGTATTCAGGGAGGGAGTTGTGGGAATTGTGAAGGCCAATATGGTCTGATTCATTTTGTGTTCGACGCTGAAACTCTCACTACCTTCCAAACGTCAGTGGCCAGTTTTCGGGCTTCCCACTTTATTTTTTGGATCAGTGATGCCTGCCACAGTAACCATGTCTTCCAATGGGGGGGGGAACAAGGGATGGGGGGCATTGCCAAGCCAGGAAGTTATGATTCGTATTTGATTCTGCAAATCCCATGATCATCCTAAAGCCAGTGGCTAATTCAGAGTTGCCTACCTTTATTTTGGGAGGAGTTACGCCTGCCAGTGAAGGACTGACAGCCAGTCGGATCAATGGGTGGAGTGTTTTTATTTTTCAAGATATTGCTGAATTTTAAAGGTAGGTAGGTAGAAAATTTATTGTATATGGTCATAAGCCTTTACAATCGAGAATCATTAGAGATAGTATTTTAAAGGGTTTTCAATGTTTGAAAGTTTAAACATTTGAAATATTTTTACTGTTTGCTGCATTGGAGATGCTGAATTGGGTATAAAATATTGCATAGACATATTTTAATGAATTAATAGGTAAATAAATAAACACATATAGATGAACTGTGGATTTGCCCTTCCTTCTCCCATCCTACAGGGAGACAGTGGAAATACAGCCAAGACAATATACCTGGGCACTTTTCAGTGAGAGGGAAGAACAGGGGGAAAATACCATCTATTTCCAGCAAACCACTATCATGATGAAAGACTTCTAAAAAATCTGCCCCTATGCCAAGGAGTTAATTGCTGGTGACTTTTTTTTTGCTCTGGGTAACTTCCAAATAAGACTGTAATTAAGTCTTCCTCTTTCAAATCCCCCTGTTTAGCTCCATCAGCCAGTAACAAAATGAATAACCACAACAGTAGTGAAAGTAGGTATAAATATATCTCTGAAAGACTCGAGACTATGGTAGGGTCAGGGACACAACCAGGGATCTGTCACCCTTTCCGGATACTCGTGCCTTCAGTATTATCAAATGGCTGAAAGAGTATTACTGTCAAGTTTTGAAAGTGTGTGGTTGGATCCAAGCAGGTTTTCTTCTGAAGAAAAAGGTCCTGCCAATTACATTTTTTCTGGGCATCATAGGACAAAAGCCATCTGGAATGTGAGGTATCGGAAAGGGGGAATCGAAGAAGAATGAGTGAAAAAGCTGGCTGAATCCAAGATTTTCATGAGGGTACTGTAGAGAACAAGGGAATCTGTCTTCGGTGGAAAGGCCTAACCAAGGATGGGAATTTGGGTGGTGCTGTTATTGCTGCTGCTGCTGCCCACACAGGCATGTATGGCTCACGCTGCTGAATGCACGGCCTGGCACCCCCATGATATTCATCACAAGTACCTTCAACCAGGACATTTCATTCTGGGTGGTCTGGTCTATCTTATCCTTTTCGGTTCCACTCAAAAAAACTTCACCAGAGAACCTACAGGGCCACTAGATGAACCTTTTGTGTAAGAGATTATGCTTTCCCCTATGCTACATTTCTGTCTAGGTTGTATTCTGCAGCAGAATAATACCCGGTGAGGCATAAAGTGCAGCAATGTATATAGGAGTTTTCATTATTAAAACTTATCGGAGCAATCCTGTACTAATTTACTCCCATTTAAGGTTTGGTGGAGTTAACTCTTCCCAGGATGGCACTGCAAGTTGTATATTAACTACGTACCTTCATTCCATTGTACTGAGATGGTTCAAATGCAAGATGAGCCTTTTACTACTCTGATCCCATTTGGACAATATTATTTCACTTTGTACATACCAGAGTGTCATAAGAAGTGCAGAGAACGAAAGCTGGAGGAAGAACTCAAAATCTGGATGGGATCAAAAGAACTAGTCCTAGTACTTACAGATTCTTAACAGGCATATTTGATTCTGCTGCAGACATTATTCCGAGAATCAAGCTATTTATCCCTGCGGATATCAACAGATTGCATGAAGGAGCGTCTCTTTCGTACAGCATGTATTTGATTTATTTACCCTTTGTTCCCCCCATATTCAGTTTCCATCCAGTTTTTCACTGTACCATCTTGAGATACACTTTTTAACCTGTATCCTGTCTAGAAAGTAGTCTTCCCTTTCACTGCTTGCAACCCTTTACAACTAGGAAAGCCATCAGATGTATATGATTTTACATCTGGAAATTACATCAAAATGACAATGGTCTTCAGAAGATATCCAGATAGATATCTATTAGAAAGAATATCCGAACATATGTGTGTGTTTGTATATTTCCAAAGTGGTTCTAGGGCTTTGAGGTGGGAGATAGAATCCCTTCACATTCTGTTATTCTGTTACTTTAGAATTATGTCATTCAGTGTTTCCCCCCCTTACATCTGTTCTGATTTTTAATAAAACACTATAGAATGCTTCACATTCTGAAGGGTGATATGACATTATATATTAATTCATTTATGCTGTCCAGTCCAAAATATGTTGGGTTACGGATTAACTTCAAAAAACTTATATAGGCTGCGGTCACACGGAACATTAGCCACCCTAGTCAGACGGAAGACATGCGGAGTTTCCGGACGCGATCCCACCAGCACATCTGGGAAGCGTAGCACACCCGGGGTTCAAACGAGGCTTCCCGCTGAAACCGCGCAGCAAAATACTAGTACCTCGGAGGTACTAGTAACCGGAAGCCGCGGGGCAAGGGCAGGCGTCGGATCGCGTTTCCGGAGGCATCCGGCGCCCGCCCATGTTCCCGTCCTCGCGAAAACGTTTTTTCCCCCAGGTCTTCGTGGATGCGCAAAAGCACCCTACCGAGCATGCACAGTCATGCTGTACAGAAAAAAAAACTATCCAGTTTGCCGAACCGCGCGCTTCGTTTTTGCGCGCGGGATTGTGCTGCGATCGACACCTCTCCCTTCCCACGGGATCTCCACGGTACCTCCACGGTACCTCCACGGGAGGTCTGGTCAGGTAACGGCGCCTTAGTTTGCCCCGGGGCACACTGCCACGCTTCCCCCCCGCGGTTTCCTGCTCGTGTGACCGGGGCCATATATAACTATTTTAAAATATGTGCAAGTTACACAAAACAATAGCAACAACATAGCAAAATCCACAAAAGTGCTATTTATTCCATCTCTCTTTCCAGAGCAGTGACTCAGAATTACCAGCATGTCCTGGCCATGGTATTTGCCATCAAGGAGATCAATGAAAATCCCAGGCTCTTGCCCAACGTCACCTTGGGTTTCCGTATCTATGACAGCTACTTGAATCCAAGGTGGACCTATCATGCCACACTTCATCTTCTTTCTCCCTGGAAAAGATTTGCTCCCAACTACAGATGTGACAGTCAAGATAACCTGTTTGCAATTATTGAAGGATTTTTCTCTGCAGCTTCATCCCAGATCCCGAGTGTTTTCGGCATGTACAAGATTCCTCAGGTAGGATAAATCGGCAGAATGTGAAGAATTGTAATTCACTTCCTTTCACTTGATTCAAGTTCAACACCATACCAAGAAAATATTTAAGAATTGAAAAGCATAGCAAAGGAAAATTTTGCCACGTCAACCACACATGCTTTACAAAAGTCACTCAGAAACAATCTTAATTTATCGGTATCAGAAGTGGCTGAACATTTTAACAGCCATTTAGCAAGCAGTTTCTCCCTGACAACAGTGTATCCAGAATGATTACAGAAACCATACACTAACAAACCAACCATTGACAAGAAACAATCACAAAAAAAGTTGTTCTTTTTTTTTTGAACAAATTTTTTATTTTTTCCATAGGAATTCAACACTTGACATTTAACCATTTTCACTTTTCCATTATTTACCCCATCCCCATTTCCTCCCCTCCCTCCTTGTCTTCCCGCAATGCTTCTCCCCCCAACTCCATGTTACTATACATCATCAGTTATATCATTTTCTTATCGCTACAGTCTCAAGATAACATCATTTGACTTAATATTGATCTAAACATATTAAGTTTTGTTTCACATCCCAGTTCTTCTCCAGATATATTTTAAAGTCACTCCATTCCTCAAAAAACACGTCATCTTCTTTGTTGTTCAACTGTTTTGTGATTTTATCCATTTCAGCCATGAGCAGAACTTTGTGTATCCAGTCTTCAATCTCTGGTACTTTTTCTGTTTTCCAAAATTGTGCATAGATCATTCTCGCTGTCGTTATTAAGTACCAGAGTAGAGTCTTTTTAGTCGTTTTGACTTCTTCCATTTTAAGTCCCAAAAGCAGAATTTCCGGTACTTTCTTGAAAGAGCATTTCAGTATTTTTTGTATTTCATTGTGGACTTTTGTCCAAAAGTCCGCAGCTTTCTCACAAGTCCACCACATATGGTAAAATGAGCCCTCATGACTTTTACATTTCGAACATTTGTTTGACATATTCTGGTTCATATTTGCAATTTTCTTTGGAGTCATGTACCATCTATACATCATTTTGTAACAATTCTCTCTAACATTGGTACATGTCGATATCTTAATAGAGTTTTTCCACAAATACTCCCAGGTTTCCATAGACACTTCCTTGTTCATATTTATTGCCCATTTTATCATTTGCTCTTTCACAGTTTCATCTTCCGTATACCATTTTAACAACACTTTGTACATTTTAGAGATATTTTTTTTCCTCCACTCTCCCACACTTTTTCCATTTCATTTTTTTCCTCTCTAAAACCATAGTTTTTTTTATCTGATCTAAAAAGATCATAAATCTGCATGTATTTCAGCCATTCATAATCATATTGAATCTCATTCTGCTTTTTCATTACCCATTCTGTTCCCTCTTTTTTAATTAAATCTCTGTATGGCAACCAATCTCTATCGCGCTGTCTTGAGTATGATGTTAACACTTCTACTGGTACAATCCACAAAGGTCTTACTTCCAGAAAATATTTTTTATATCTCATCCATACCACAAACAATGCTTTTCTTACCAAATGAAGTTTAAAAAAGCTATCCATTTTTGTCTTATCATACCATAAATATGCATGCCAACCAAATCTACAATCATGACCCTCTAGCCCCAATAGTTTATCATTTTTGAGTTTTACCCATTGTTCCATCCAGGTTAGACAGACCGCTTCATAATATAGTCTAAGATTCGGTAGCTGCAATCCTCCTCTTTCTTTGGCATCACAAAGTATTTTCATTTTGATTCTTGGTTTCTTGCCTGCCCAAACAAACTTTGATAATTCTTGCTGCCATTTAGTTAGCAAATCCGTTTTATTTAATATTGGTATTGTTTGGAACAATGGGTAATAACAAACAATAACAATTCCAAACAAAACAAACAAAAAAAGTTGTTCTGATGGAATCCCAGCTAAAGGACCCTTCATGAGTGCTGTAGGTATCACCAGCATTTAAATATAGGGTAGAAATTCAAATTTGGTTACTTATATTTGCTTCCCAGATGGAACAGGGAACATTTCCATCTCAATTTTGATTCATGCATTCTTTTATACACAAAGGTGGCTGATTATTGTGGAGATACAAATGGCTGAATTCTAACAAATGGGACAGAACTTACCTTTGTGTAAGAATATCTAAGCAGAAGAAAGAACAATTTTTATGACTCCTTCATAGCTCATACATATTTAAAGACTATCATAATTAGTATTAATGATCTGAGAAAGAAGAACCTCTGTATAACACCTTTGATCCTGATCAGACATAGAATTACTTGAAAACACTACTTCTGATCCGGCTCTTTTCTGGTAGGGGCAAGCCCTGTGTGAAATGGCAGTCCTGTACCGGTTCACTTCAAAACAGATGATTTCCGGCTTGAAACCGGGTGAAACTGGGTAATGTGAAATTCCCCACTGTGTCCAGTTCTCTATCGCATACTAATTATGGGGACTGGGAAAAGATATGTTTCCATGCAGCACCAATTTCACCCTTCTGCGGACAGTTTCCGGTGGGTAGCCATGTTGCTCTGCATTAGAAGAGAGGATGTCAGTGCAGAAGCACCCTAAAGGCCAACATTTCTCCCCCAGGGTATAAGCTTTCAAGAGTCAAAGCTTTTTCCAAGCTTTGACTCTTGGAAGTTTGTACCCTGGAAAAAACTTAGCTTGTATCGAAGGAGCAACTGGACCTGAGTTTTGCCATGTGTGCTGTAAAATCCAGGCTACGTGTCATGCAAAGAAGTTTGTTCCCCAACCTCAGTAGGTGCAGAAATATTTTTGGCCCCTTCCAGCTTCCAGAACAGACAACTAAGGCTTAGTGGGCAGAGCAGAAACCAGCCACTTCCTGCCACTCTGCTTGGGGCAACCATTTAAGCTTAGTCTGAATCTTTTAGCAGCGGACCTTTTGCTGTGACAGCTGCCCCTTTGCCCACTACAACCAAGCGGCTGCTTTATGGAATTCCCACTCTGAAAATATATTCAAAAAGCATTTACAAGTTATTTTGTGTATTTTTGGAATGAAAAATAAGGTTACAGAACTGTCTGGAATTATTAACAAAAACACAAAACATTGGTTGGAATAAGAAATCTTTCCTGTGATCCAAAGCAGGGGCTTTAACAAAGATTGCTACTCATTCAGTAGAGAACCAAGTCTTCCCTCTAATATCACCATTAGAACAGGATCGGAAAAGGGGATCCAAATTTGCGAAGAAAGAGATATATGTTTATGAACTCCTGTACAAGGTGCTACCAACTATCCTGGTTATCACTGTTTCCTATGGGGGGGATGGGGGATCTTTCTGCAGATCTGAGAAAGGGTGCTTGTAAAGTAAATCACATTGACATTACAAAATATCAAGTCATCCCAGCTTTGAAGGGGATTGGACAATGAGATCCCCTGAATCAAGGGGATAGTGTATATGGTGGTATGTCTGTGGCATTTCAATGTCTAATACTTTATACATTTTAAATTTTTAAGCCTTCAATCTATAATCAGAAGATGGGTTAGTAGTAATTTTTACTTAAAAAATCAAGAGAATACTATTATGAATACACATGAACCAGTTCCAATCTGACAATGTATTTGTTCTTCATTGTAAAACCACAAAAGAATCTGTTAAAACAGGACTCTGAAGAAGTGCCAAAGAAATATTATAAATTAATAACTAGTACATTTCTGTTTGCCCTCTTGAATTTATTCTTAGCTCTCTTATGGCTATGCTTCACCAACTGTGGAAGACATTCAGTTTGTTTCCTTATACCAAATGATCCCAAATGAAGCCCTCCAGTACAAGGGGATTCTGCAGTTACTTCTCCATTTCGATTGGACATGGGTTGGATTCTTTGATTTTGGAATTCATATGAATTCAGAATGGTTTATGGAGCATATGGTTCCTGAATTTTCCAAGAATGGCATCTGTTTTGACTTCATAGACACAGCCTTTAAGTACGGTATGGATAAAGGAGTCAGAGAACTAATGAAGTGGTTTGAAAAAGTGAATGATAAACTCATGAAGACCCAAGCCAATGTTTTGATTTTTTATGGAGATCATTATTCCATAATTCTTTTCAGATATTTTCTAAGTAACACAATGTGCAAAAATCACTTTAAAAAGCCAAAAGGAGGAGTCTGGCTTCTCACAGCCCATCAAGAAATAAAATCAATTCCCAGCCATAGGAACTGGAGTACACAGTACTTTCATGGCGCATTATCAGTTGCCATTCACTCAAATAAAGTTCCGGGATTCCAAGAATTTCTTCTAAGAAGAAGTCCTTCCAATAGTAAAGGAGATGGTTTTCTCCAGGACATCTGGGCTCTCGCATTTAGCTGTGTATTCCCCAATTCCTTTTTGAGAAATTCTCAGGACTTTATATCCACTGGTAACTGCACTGGAGAGGAAAAGCTGGAAAATCTTCCTCAGCCTTATTTGGAAACGAGCATGACTGGCCGTAGCTATACCATCTACAATGCTGTCTACGTGGTGGCCCATGCTTTACATGCTATATTTTTGTCCAAGTCTAGTAGAAGACTGAGAGAAGGAAAGAGAAAGGAGCTTCAGAATTTTCAGCCATGGCAGGTAATGGCAGAAAGACTCTAATATGTTCATTGATGGTGCATTGAGAGAACTCTTAAAATGTTGGAGGACTACTGGAAGTGTTCCAGGATTTCTTCCTTCTTATCTTATATTAGACACAGAGTGGGATGTTTATGATGGGTATCCATGTCTTACCTTGTTCCAGGTTGGGCAGTATGGGTTCTCTTTGTGGCACCTGAGCACTTTTGGCAACCCAATTGAACTACAAATGTTGTTCACAAATGCCTTTGTGCCTTCTATATTCTGTATTTTTACAGTCTGCAATGGGGTCTCCATTCCTTGGGGATACTGTCAATGAACTTGGACAGCAGAACTGCATGGCAAAATATTTTTAGGATAAAGAATTAAAAAACATGATCAATCCATGGCAGATGTAACCATCTAAGGACATAGTTGCAAAAGGTTCTGTTCCCTCTTTTCCAGTTCCATAATTTTGGTTGAGTTTTAATATTCACAGCATGGCTTTTGTGAAAGATAGATCGAGCAATATTCTGATCAATGTTCGTATCACATTTTGTATAATTCTGGTTCCAGATTCCTGTACCATCTTTCCCCCCACTAAATAATCTCTTTTCTTTTTAAACTAGCTTCACCACTTCCTCAGAGATGTGTCATTTAATAACACTGCTGGGGACAAGGTTTCCTTGGTTCAGAAGGAGGAACTGGAAGGAAGATTTGATGTTATCAACTGGGTCACTTTACCAAACCAATCTCTCATTAAACAGAAAGTTGGAAATATTGATCTCCAGGCTCCAGCAGATCAAGGATTCTCCATTAATGAGGATATTATTCTATGGGATTATTGGTTTAAACAGGTAGATCTGATTTGGAAGGGGTTTTTTTTAGAAATACTGTTTGAATGTGATATTGCTGACAGGGTTTTGTATATCTCTTTGTTTATTTCCATATGGGGGGAAACTTTGCAGTTGACTACAAGCCTCCTTTTTGTAAAGCAACCCCTGCATTTTGATGCCGTGAAAACATGCCCTCCCAAAAATTTCCATTGAACACATTCTGCAGAATGATAAAAAAAAATTGGAGGACCATATCCTGGGGCCCATATACATAAGGGAAATTCTTGGCAGTTATGAGGACATGCACCAATTCACATTTTTTACAAAATGTTTCATTTCAAACATTCCTAGAGACTCCATTTACCGTGGGAAAGATGGTATATAAATATTTTAATAAATAAACGTTTACTCATTCATAAATTGTCCAGTGGACTATGCCTCAATATGTTTCAACATATCGAGAGCCAGTTTTATGTAGTGGTTAAGTGCACGGACTCTAATCTGGGAGAACCGGATTTGATTCCCCACTCCTCCACTTGCACCTGCTGATGTGACCTTGGGTCAGTCACAAGCTCTGGCACAGCTGTTCTTGAAAAAGAGCAGTTTGTGTCAGAGTTCTCTCAGCCCCACCCACCTCACAGGGTGTTTGTTGTGGGGACGGGAAGGGAAAGGCGTTTGTAAGCCGCTCTGAGACTCCAAGTGAAGGGCGGGGTATAAATCCAATCTCCTCCTCCTCCTCCTCCTCTTCTTCTTTTTCAACACAATGTGAAGAATGGCTAAGAATCTGTATTACTCTGGTAGAAGATTAAGAAAAATTGACAAATATGTTTAGAAGAATAGCAAACTAGTTTCATGTCATGGTATTTTCTGAACATAAAAAAATTCTGAACTCCTCTAAATATTGAGATTCTCTTATGTCATTAATCTATTAGAGACGGCCTCATTCTGTATGCGCTGAAAACTGCCATCCTGGATACAGGAAGAAAAAGAAAGAGGGGAAGCCATTCTGCTGTTACGATTGTGCTCCATGTCCAGAGGGGAAGATATCTGCTCAGAAGGGTGAGAAATCTACTGGGAGGTTTTCAGACATATGGACTGTAATAACACCAAAAAATGAACAAAGGATCCATATATTTATTGAAGGTTATCCATACCCATATTGACATTTGTAATGTTGCATAGTCAACCCCATCTAGAGAGCTGGGGTTAAACCCCAGTGGGACACCAGTGACCTCCTGTCTTGCTGAGGTCATCTTGCCAAGAGCAGTGGCTAGGACACCAGATGTTGAATGAGGATAAAATCAAGCATCCTGAAAGCCATTTGTATACCCTTTGACAAACATCTTGGGGTAGGGTTGCTAGCTCCAGGTTGGGAAATTCCTGGAGATTTGGGGGGCGGGGTTAAATATATGGGGAGGGTGAGATTTGGGGAGGGAATTCAGCAGAGTATAATGTCATAGAGTCCACCTTCCAAAGCTCCCATTTTCTGCAGGAGAAAGGGTCTCTGTTGCCTGGAGGTCATCTGTAAACAGAGGAGATCCTCAGCTACCACCTGGAGGTTGGCAACTATAGCTAAAGGTGGGGTTGGTTCACCTGGGCATTTCCAGTCATGAAAGTGAGTAATATCTTAGGGACCAGGATGTGGAGAGTGAGGGGACACCAATCAAGAGGGATAGGCAGATGTACTGTAGGCTTCACATGTGGGGATGGGATTAAAAGGAATAACTTGGTGAAGTTTGGGCCTGGTTGGTAAGAAAGGGGGAGAGAATCAACTTCCAGTTCAGAACTGGAGAAGATGGTTGGCTACACTGTAGTTGGGAAAGGAAGAGGGGGGAAAAGAATTCCCCAGAAGGGAAACTATTGCACCAATTTACTGCTTCGTATCTATTATTTACTCTTTGGACCTTCAGTGACTAATGCCTCTTCTTCAGCCTAGTGTGATCACCACATTGCTCCATGAAGCCCTGTTTGGGAGTGGGCACAGAGTGAGACACATCCTTTCCCCACAACATTATTGGGTCATCTCTCCACTGTGGACTACAGGCCACTTTTAGTAGCAAGCAGTGGAAGTGAGCACAAGCAGGCAAGATGGGAACCTTCGCCAATGTAGGGTTGCCATTCCCCCGGTGGGGCCAGGGGATCCCCTATTTTAGGGACTCCAATGTACCATGGCCCAGCTGGCTGGTGGGGGAGCCCCACCCTTGCAAAGTTCCTAGCACCAGCATGATGACATCACCCATAACTGATGACATTGCTTTTCCAATGTTGGATTTGATACTCTAGGTTTAAGGCAAAACTCTATGGTTTTGAGGCCAAAAGTCCCATAGAGTTTTGCCAAAAACCTAGAGCATCACCCCCAATGTTGGAAATGTAATTACACTACTTCTTGTGCTGCTATTGTGGCACGCATGCAAAGCACACGGACCACAAGATCCTCAAGGTGGAACCAGGAGGCCCTCCGCCAGCAGCAAGGTAGAACCTGGCAACGCTAGGCCTATATGAATAGGCTGCGTATGCCTGAAATAATGCCAGCTCTGACCCTCTTTGTGCTATCCTTATAGTTCTTTAGATGAATATTTGAATACCTGGTTCTACTCATAAAATGACCTAATGAAGAGTGAATTCTCTTGCTGACAGGCTGGACCCAACTCGCCACTACCAAGTGCTGTCAAGACGAAAAGTTAAGAGGCTATTCTAGCATAGAATATATTGAGACCTACTTATACTGCCTCATATTAGAATTATTGCATTCTTTTCTTTACTTTTTCAGACATGGATGACTGTTTTGAATGCACAAGTGACCATTATCCAAACAAGGAACAGAATTTTTGCATACCCAAGGTTGTAACCTTTTTGTCTTATGAGGAGCCTTTGGGGATCAGTTTAGCCCTGATTGCTCTTCTGTTTTCTCTGATCACAGCTCTCATCTTAGGACTCTTTACCAAGCACCACAACACTCCCATTGTCAAAGCCAACAACAGAAGCCTCACGTACACTCTTCTCCTCTCCGTCTTTCTCTGTTTCCTGTGTGTTTTTCTATTCATCGGCCAACCTGGGAAGGTGACCTGTCTCCTCCGCCAAACTGCTTTTGGCATCATCTTCTCAATGGCTGTTTCTTCTGTGTTGGCGAAAACAGTCACTGTCATTCTAGCTTTTTGGACTACAAACCGGGATCCAAATGGGGGGAGGGGGGTGGGGAAAAGACTGGCCAAATCCTTTGTTCTTTCTTGCACTCTTACTCAAGCAGTTATTTGTGGTCTATGGTTGGTGATCTCTCCCCCATTCTCAGATGCTGATATGCATACATTCACTGAAGAAATTATCCTGAATTGTAATGAGGGTTCAGCTATCATGTTTTACTGTGTTCTGGGCTACATGGGCTTTCTGGCCACTGCCAGCTTTTTTGTAGCTATCCCAGCTAGGAAGTTACCTGACAGTTTCAATGAAGCCAAATTCATCACCTTCAGCATGTTGGTATCTTGCAGTGTTTGGATGACCTTTGTTCCAACCTACCTGAGCACTAAAGGGAAATACATGGTGGCCGTAGAGGTCTTCTCTATCTTAGCCTCCAGTGCAGGCCTGTTAGGCTTCATCTTTCTTCCAAAATGCTACATTATTGTTCTCAAGCCTGAGCTGAACCACAGGGTCCATCTTATAAGGAGGAAACACTGATGGTATTAAGTACTGTATAGAAATATTGATTTCTATAGGCTTCATGTTTCCCCCTTGGAATGTATCTTGCTGACCCCCTGTTGGTTTGATTTCCTATGCAAGCCAGATGGCTGACCATTTGGTCAGTTGCCTGCCATAAACATTCCTGCACACCCTGGAAGAAGAGCAGATGCCCTAGTGGGCATGCAACCAGGCACGTAGGCCCATGGGTAGGTGGGGCTCTGGGGTCATTTGCTGCAGAGGGTGGTCCCCAGACCTAACATATCCCCCACCCATTACCATGACAACCCAAAAGTTGGGACCTCCCTGTCTATTGGTGATTGGCTAATGGCCATGGCTGATCATAATTAGATTGAGATTTTTAACTGTCTGCCCCTTCCAGAGGAGCTCAGATTTTCTTGCTTTCTTGTTCTGTTCTGTTACTGTCATCTGGGATGCTGTCTCTGCCATGTGGCCTGGGACACAACAAAGGACTCCTTTGTGAGCTGAGCACATGCTTGCAAAGATGGGGTTGCTCTTACAAATCCCTTGGTCTCATTTGGATTGTCTACCATGGACTTTATCAAGACTGATGCTACTCTGATGATTGGTAAATATGCTTCTTATGGTGTAGTTAGGCAAAACCTTGCTTAGCCTTTCTTATTTTAGAATTCTCTTGGTCTGATGGCAAGCCTGTACTGAATAAATCTTATTCTTGTTTATTAAAAGTGTCTGCTTGATGGGTAACTGGACTCCAAGGCTAAACTCCCTGTGCCTAGCTGGCTACACGCTACCATTGAGCCTTAAGAGTGCATCTCTGTGGAGGTGCTAGAGCTGGGTATTGTTGTTAATGTACTGTAAACGTGTAGGAGTTTTCCCTCATTCCTAGACAAGCGTGGGGGCGGAATCCTATACAAGTACTTTCTACATTATACCAACAGGGGTGTAAAATCTGGGAATACTTCACCATGCAAAAATTTCCTGTCCAAATACATATATAAGAGAACCCATATTATAACTCTGACCTCTTAGAATGCTGGCTTCCTTGTTTTGAATTCATTGAGGGAAATGAAAAATTAAAGAAGATCCTTTCAAAATATAGAACTCTTGCATTATTACTGTTCCTGTAATTTTTTATCGTTCTTTCAAAATATGTGAATACAATGTATTACTATGTCATGTTCTGTAATACTACTTTAAAAAATCAAAATAAAAAGCTTTTTTTTAAGTATCCCTCTCAGAATTTGCCCTAGTTCACCCATAGCAATTACAATATCTCCAGTTGAAGTTCCTTGGGCTCCCCCCAGAAGTTACTAGAACTGAATTGTCACAATGTGTACAGTTTTCTATTGGTTTTGAGCTGCAACTATTTTGACCACACACACCAAAATTTCCTTGGTAATTCTGAATTCATCAAGAGCAATAACAGCAATAAAGAATCCATATTTTTGTTCAGTAGGCCAAAAGACTTTCTCTAATATCAGACTACGATCAAGCACTTTAATTCCTGTTGCAATTTTTCTTGCTCTGGATTAATGCTAACCAGTTAAGGAAGATGTACACTTCTGTTCAGACAAGATAAACATGTTTTTCAGAAATACAATTTTTTCACTATGAAACTCCGTAACAAAAAAAAGTACAGTTAGGTCTCTAACTACAAGCCATGTAACTACCACCTATGGGTTTAATTACTTCTTTCACTTACTAAATACCCCAAGGAGTTCCAGTGGGCCAGTACTAGTAACTGAATAACACAGACTGTGGAAGAAGGTATAAATATATCCCCATCCCATTCATTGAAATAATATGGGCTAGAGACACATAGGACCCCATTAGCTCATTCTGCTCATTCTGACTCTGAAATTATCAACAGACAGAAAAATTATTTTGGACAGACAGCTGTAATCATGCAGAGTTTTGTGAGGGTTTTATAGATGCCTATAAGCTGATCTATGTTCAGTGGGAAAATCGATTCCCAGGATGCTGATACTGGTGGGGTTGATGGTGCTGCTGCTGCTGCCCACACTGGCATGACACTGGCATGTATGGCTCATGCTGCTGAATGCAAGGCCTGGCACCCCCATGATATTCACCACAAATACCTTCAACCAGGACATCTCATTCTGGGTGGTCTGGTCTATCTTAACCTTTTTACCTCCCTTCCAAAAAACTTCACCAGAGAACCTACGGGGCCACTAGATGAACCTTTTGTGTAAGAGATTATGTGTTTTCCCTGTGCTATATTTCTTTCTAGGTTGTTTTCTGTAGCAGACGTATACCTGGTGAGGCATAAAGTACAGCAGCGTATATAGGAGGTTCCATTATGAGAACTTAATGGTGCCATCTTGTACAAACTTACTCCTATTTAAGACCACTGAATGGGCTTAGGTGGAAATAACTCTTCCTAGGATGGCACTAGGAGCTGCGGTGGCTCAAGTGGTTAAGATGCTGAACTGCAGGCTGTGGAAGGTCGGTAGTTCAGCAGTTCGAGACCCGGGTGCCGCAAGACGGAGTGAGCTCCCGTCTCTAGTTCCAGCTCCCGCCAACCTAGCAGTTCGAAAGCAAGAAATTGCAAGTAGATAAATAGGTACCACTTCGGTGGGAAGGTAACAGCGTTCCGTGTGCCTTGGTGTTTAGTCATGCCGGCCACATGACCACGGAAACATCTTCGGACAGCGCTGGCTCTTCGGCTTTGAAACGGAGATGAGCACCGCAACCCTAGAGTCGGATTCGACTGGCTTTCGAGCAAGGGAACCTTTACCTTTACCTTTAGGATGGCACTGCAAGTTGTATCTTTCTTAGATGCCTGCATTCCATCGTACCTGACGTTTCAAAGGCAATATTGTCCTATCACTACTCTGATCCCATTTGGACAATGTTATTTCAGTTTGTACATACCAGAGTGTCGTAAGATGTGCAGAGAACGACAGTTGCAGGAAGAACTGAAATTCTGGGTGGGATCAAAAGAACTAGTACTAGAAGTTACAGTCTAATTTTTAATAAAACATTGCAGTATGTATCACATTCTGAAGAGTGATATGACATTATATTCTAATTCATTTATGCTGTCTGGTCCAAAACATGTTGTGTTAAGGATTAACTTCAAAAAAGTTATGTATACAACTATTTAAAAATATGCATAAGGTACACAAAACAATAGCAACAACATAACGAAATCCACAAGAGGCTATTGGTAAATGTTCCACATCTCTGTTTCCAGTGCAGTGATTCAGAATTACCAGCATGTCCTGGCCATGGTATTTGCCATCAAGGAGATCAATGAAAATCCCAGGCTCTTGCCCAATGTCACCTTGGGTTTCCGTATCTATGACAACTATTTGAATCCAAGGTGGACCTATCAGGCCACACTTCAACTTCTGTCTCCCTGGACCAGATTGGCCCCCAACTACAGGTGTAACAGCCAGGACAACCTGTTTGCAATTACCGAAGGACTTTCCTCTGCAACCTCCTACTTGATACCAAGTGTTTTGGGCATGTACAAGATTCCTCAGGTAGGATATATCTGCTGAATATGAAAAATTGTGATTCACTTTATTCTGGTTTAACAGCCAATTAGCCATACACCAAAAATATTTAAGAATTAAAAACAACGACAAAGAAAAAAATTGCCACGTCAGCCATACATACTTTACAAAAGTCACTCAGAAGTGGCTGAATATCGTAACTGCCATTTAGCAAGCAGCTTCTCCCTGGACAGTGTGTCTGGAAAACTTAAAGAAAACATACGCTAACAAATCAACCGTTGGCAAGGAACAATCACAGAAAAATTGTTCTAATGGAATCCCAGCCGAAGGACTCTTCATGGGTGCTGTAGGAAGTGCCCTACAGCATGGAAGCATGAATGACCTTATTAATTTAGGTTTCTGGTCACTTCTTGGGACTTCCGTTATCGGAACGAGTTTGCGATTGTGGACAAGAGATGATAGAAACTATGGATCATATAATGCTTTTTTGTCCTAAGTGGAATAAGGAAAGAGAGAGATACATCATTCCCGTACAATCTTCATTTATGGCTTTCAGAAGTGGCTGAATATCTTAAATGCCATTTAGCAAGCAGCTTCTCCCTGGACAGTGTGTCTGGAAAACTTAAAGAGAACATACGCTAACAAAGCAACCATTGGCAAGGAACAATCACAGAAAAATTGTTCTAATGGACTCCCAGCCGAAGGACTCTTCATGGGTGCTGTAGGAAGTGCCCTACAGCATGGAAGCATGAATGACCTTATTAATTTAGGTTTCTGGTTCATCAGCATATAAAGATAGGGTGGGGATTCAAATTTGTCTACATATTTGATTCCCAGGTGGAGCAGGGAACATTTCCATCTGAATTTTAATTCACACATTCTTGTATACTCAAAGGTGGCTATGTATTCTGGAGATAGAAATGGCTGAATTTTATATAATACGGCAGAAGGAAAATCCAACTAAAAGGAAAATGATCCGTACGACTCTTTCATACCTTGTAAAACATTTTTTTTTTCATGGTAGATATAAAGTTAAAGTTATGGATCTGAGAAAGGAAAGCATCTCTGTAATAGCTTTGGTCGTAGTCATGAACGGTGTTAATTCTGTTTTTCAGATTTTTTAAAAAAGTTTTTCATATCCTTTGTTTTCTGTGTTTCTGAATCTGAAAGCCAAGGTATTAATTACATGAACAGACTGTGCCCACTGATCATCTCATACTACTGACTGGAACCTGCAAAATAATATGTCTCCTTTCAAAGTCAGTGTTCTCCTTCTGTGGAGTTCAAAGTAGTCTCCCAGCATCAGTAGGCATTGGGATGCCCCCCTCCCCTCCAGCTTTCATAAAGGAGCACAAGGCTCTGAGTCGACAAGAATAGAGCAGATCTTTCCAGGGGTGGGGTGGGGACACAAAACTGGGTGGAATAAGGAATCTTTCCAGGGGGCTGGAACAGGTGCTTCCCCCCCTTTTTTTTGTTGTTGTTGAGAAAATGGCACTCAACATGTGAGGAACCATTTCTGACTCTGAGTTTTTTTGG